TTAAAATGGCCTTGAAAAACTATATGAATGGTCTAGAATTCGGCAGTTGCTGATAAACATTCACAAGTTCACTTCGAAGCATATTGGTCACTTAGGTACAGATGTATACACAGTGAATAACATTTAGCTACTTGTTGTCCAGACACATAATGATCCACGGGTTATTGTTAACCTAGACCAAAATACTAATACTGCCGTGTAACAGCCTCCAAGGGTTTCAGAACTCTATGGTCAATATGTGGAGCTTTTAGCCAAAATGGTTCAAATGGTTCAAATGGTTGCGGACGGAATAGAAGAAGCTTTCGCTTAACAGGCTTCCGTGTCTAGTAGCAGTGGATCACCAATACCTCCAGGCAAGAACCTAGGTATATTAACGATAAAAGAGAAAGAAAATGAATTGGTAAATCATAGTAGGATACTATCCTTAGTCCTTAAGAATAGATCAAGTCGCCTCTTAAAGGACTCCCGAGAAGTTGCTTGGACTAGCTCAGCTGGCAGCGAGTTCCAGCATTTGACAACTCTTAAGGAGTAGAAATTGTGTCTGCAGTCCGTTCTACTATGTTGTATCTCCAGTTTTTGGGTGTTACCCCTTAGGTTAGTGTTGGGACTAAGCTTAAGTAGGTGTTTAAGAGGGTGTCCAGGTGTGTTAAGGATACTGTAGCCATGTCGATGCTAAAACATTTTGACATGATATGCAGTATTCTTGCGTTCTAAACTTCAGTACTGTATACAAGTGACTAGCCACTGCTTAAAACAGACAGTGAGGTTTGAAAAAAGGTTCAGAGAACACTAATGAGACTGATCCCCGACATAGCACAGTTCCCGTATGATCAACTGAGTAAAAACTAATGTCATATAGAAGAACCAGATGTTACTTGATCATAGTTTTTAAATTACTTAATGACCAGTTTTCGTCTGATATGCCCTCATTTTTCTTGCCTCTCGAAACGGAGAATTTAAGAGGTATATCTAGAAAGTTCACGAACGTAAAACAAACTACTTGTCAACTAACTGTCGACCTTCTCATTAAATGGTTCAAATGGTTGTGGACGGAATAGAAGAAGCTTTCGCTTAACAGGCTTCTGTGTCTAGTAGAAGGGGATCACCAATACCTCCAGGCAGGAACCTAGGTTATTAACGATAAAAGTGAAGTAAAGAAAATGGTAAATCATAGTAAGATACTATCCTTAGTCCTTAAGAATAAATCAAGTCGCCTCTTAAAGGACTCCTGGGAAGTTGCTTGGACTAGCTCAGCCGGCAGCGAATTCCAGCACTTGACAACTCTTAAGGAGTAGAAGTCGTGCCTGCAGTCCGTTCTGCTATGTTGTATCTCCAATTTTCGGGTGTTATATCATAGGTTAGTATTGGGACTAAGCTTTATTAGGTGTTTAAGGGATGCCCAGGAGTGTTAGGGATACTGTAAGCTATTAGTTTCACGTCATCAGCAAAAGGTAATAAGTCTGACGATACCTGTTGAGGAAGATCATTTGTATAAATCAAGAAGAGAAGAGATCCTAGCACTGAGCCCTGGGGGACCCCTCTAGGACATTCCATAGCTTGTGATAAATTGAATTTGACCCTGACCTTAAAATGTCGATTTTTCAAATATGAACTGAGCCAGTCAATTAGAGGTGGTTTGATACCCAATTGTTTGAGCTTATTGATAAGACATATATGGTTAACCTTATCAAAAGCTTCTGAGAAATCAGGGTAAATGATGTCAACCTTCCCCTTAAGATGGAGGATGCTTTTCCACTTGTCCACCGCAGTCAGCAAGCTGGTCATACGGGAGTAACCCTTCCTGAAACCACGCTGCTGGGGTGAGAAGAAATTTAAGGACAGCAGATAGTCATGTATACCATCGCATATCAGGGACTCTATGATTTTTGAATATATAGAGAGAAGAGACACTGGTCGGCAACTTGAAGGTTCACTGCGTCGACCTCCTTTGAAAATTCGTGTGATGTGGGCCAGCTTCCCAATTTCCAGTAATTCGCTTCGGCTTAGCGAGTGTGAGAACATCACGCTAAGCGGTGCTCCTAGGATTGAAGCTGCTTCCCTCAGTATAGCAGAATGGACAATATCCGGGGCAAATGAGGTGTCCATTCTTAGATGCTGCAGTTCTCGGAACACCAAGTCAGCGCTCAGGTTCACTACGGAAAGTCCTGTGCAGTTGCAGATGAAGCTGTCATCAGTGTAGTTGATGTGGGTCGGTTGAAATATCCGGGAGTATTGCTCAGCCAAAAAGTTAGCGGCGTCGCCGTCGTCATCGATCGGGCCGTTAAGACCCAGCAGTTGGGAAACTCCAGTTTTAGCGTGACTAAGAGAGGCTGAGTAACGGAATAAGCTTTTCGGATTGGAGGCAAATTTATCCATAAGCTTTATCTGGTACTGAAGCCTGTCTTCTCTTATAGCCTTCGTGCATATGTTCCTCATGTTTTTATTGCCTGTACGCGCTGTCGTTGTCAGTTAGTTTGTATTCTGCCCAACAGTGCCTTTTTTCGGCTTAACAAATGAACGGTGCGATTCTTGATGATTGTAGTTTGCTTGTGACTTTTGGGGACCGTTTGAGGGACTGACTGTTTTGTAGCACATAAAAGCGTATGCAGTAAGAAGTCACAATGAGCATCCACATCAATTTCAGGGTGAACATCCCAATCCACCTGCTGTAGATAGTCGTGTAGAGCGGACACATTCAACCGTTAGAAATTCCAGCGCCTGTTGTTGTTGGGATAACTTAGCTCAGTTTTGCTAAAAAAACTGAAGGCTACAACGGCGTGATCGCTTTTCCCCAGGGGAGCCAGAATTGGGAGGTTTTCAACTAGAAATTCTTCGTTTGTAAATACACAGTCTAAGCGCGACAGTGTCTGACTGTTCCCTCAACGAGTTGCCGACTTCACATTTTCTTATAATTCACTCCAGGGAGGTTGAAGTCCCCTAGAGTGAAACCGAGACGCGTGGAGAGGGGTAGTCCTTCCTGCATACGACTGTCATACTCGATGTCGGCAGTGGGCTTCCTATATATCACTCCGACTAAGCACCTTGAAGTAGAAGACAATGTTACGGAGCACCATTTGGGTTCTTCCAGATTATTAAAATCATGATTGTGAACTTGGTGTACCTCCAAGCCAGATCGTATGTATACGGCTACTCCACTCCCAATTCCTGTTTTTCTGTCGTTGCGGAACAGAGACATCCCAGGTATTGCTAGCTCCTGGTCCGAAAACTGAGACATCCAAGTTTCAGATATTCCTATCAGATGAACCTTGTTAGCATTGCTTAGTTCACTTAGCTCATCCATTTCGTTTGGTAGACTCGCGGCGTTCATGTATAAGCAGTTAATGCTTTCAATTTGAAACGCGTGAACTTCTTCCTGTTTTTTTGTATTAGCCTTACGTGAGTGGACCGGTAGCCTACCTATATAAGGTTTGCCGAATTGGTAGTCCCTGTCTTTTACACGTTTTTTTATCTTCGAGACAGTGCACAAGTGGAATACTCGGCTCCAACTTGCCTTTGAGCTTGATCCTGGCGTCATATGGCCTGTCCGGGTGTATATGGATCCCAGTCGCAACCGACGTCTGTTGGCACGAAATACTTCCAGAGCTGCAGCCGCCATATGGGAAGATGGGAAAGTTATTCTAATTAGTCGGGATCTAGAATCACCGTCCTTCTTGGCTAGTCTCGTCACATGCTGAGTCAGTATGTTTTTGAGCCTCAAGGACTGTTTGATGAATTTCCATTCCCGAATGTCAGAGTTTGCTTGACTAGTGTCCGTGTTTTCCGGTACAACTTGCGCAGTGATATTTCTTCGGCGGATGAGGTTACGCCCAGAATACGCTATGTCGGGCAGTATTCTGACGTTCACATAGGATTTCAGTAAATGACTAGCCAGTAGGATACCTTCTACGTCGGTAGCGTTAGTAAGTCTTACACGAAGTAGCCTCGGGTGATTTTGATGCTTAGATCTTTTCCCCGAGTAAGCCATGTGACCGTCAAAAGCTCTATTCTAGGAAGTTCAAGCTTTTGTTCAATTAACCCCACAGCATCCTGTCATTTTTGTCCTGCAAACCGAGAGGAAGGTCAGGGTTGTCTTTGAGGTTCATGATTACGAGAGAGTCATCATCAACTGTTATTGTTTTCCCAGGTTTTCTGGTGCGTTCAGGTTCAACACCTTGTTGTTTGGAGGTGGAAGCACGTTTCTAAATCCTAGGCTTCTTGATGACTAAGCGTACATTCTTGGGGGTAGACTGAGCGACTAAATCACCAGTTGATTTCCGTACAACACTAGGGATGTTCAGCTTAGACGGTGACGCCTGGTCATTTTTAGCTCTTTTAACGTGGGTCCAACCACCTATAGAGTTTTTGGGAACCACTGTTGCATTTAAGAACCCTGAGCTGGGAGACCGGAGTTTGTAGAGGTAGTCTATTACTGTCGACGTAATGATGGTGCTGAGTTTCAACATGTTATCATTAGAGCTAATGCATGCTTCTTCGATGGTAGACCTGTAGAATTACGGTCTACTATGATATTAGCACTGCTCTAATAATAGACCTAATCCTGAAATTGTAGATTTATCATGATTTAACTGCCTAATCTATAAGATCTTACGTGGAAGTTACATCATCATCTGCACCGATTCATTGCATTGTAACAATTAACAATACGTGATAGAGAACAAGCTTAGGCTAGAGATAGAATATATTTAATATGAATAGAAGATACAAGATAACATTCAGCTGGGACCACGCCTGCAAGGCCGAGCCATGCCATCCGATCAACTCGGACTAATTCAATTTATTCTCCCCACCTTCTCCATTACTGGGTATTCCTCCGCGTTAAATATTGAATATCTATTTTCGAGTAGTCTCGTATTCAGCTTTGAGGATTGTGTGGTTATGATCCGATGCCACTACAGACCTATCGACATCCCTATTCTCGTTCTCGTTACGTGCCCTTGTTTGTCTACCTGTTTTATTACTGTTTTTTCCAAGTTTGCTGACAACTTATTCCGCAGAACTTTCAACAGGACAATGATGTTACTCAGCAAAACTACAGCATCCGTACTGCACACAACACATACCCACTTATGATCCGAATTTCTGAGTCCGTCTTAAGCAGTTTCTATGAGATCTGTGAACGCTTCATGGAACCAAACTTTTCAGTTGTCGCACTGCATGCCAGATGTCACAGCAAAACGGCATCCAGGTTGTTTGCATGAATTTTTCATGACTGTATTGACGTAAACTGTATTAGAGATGCTAGCAAAAGCCGAAGACCGTTAAAAATATACTAAGAAGCACACTAAAAACGGAAAAAAAATGGGTAAAAACGGACGAGATAAACTGAACTGGCCTTTACGTGAAAAAATGAAAAAAAACCGAGTAGTAAACTGAAGCATAAACACAGTTAACCATTAAACTGGGCGAAACTCGAAAAAAAATCTACCGAACTTATAGCTCAGAATAGATTATTTAGATCAGAAATGGTACTTTTGTTGCGCAAGAACACAGCAAAAGTTTGAAAAATGCAACCCAAGTTTGGACTAAACTTCCCGTTCGAAAAGCGCGCATTCGTCCCGTCAACCCATCGACGAATGCAATTCAATTCCTCAACATGCTTTCAGAAGAAATTTGTATCTACCAAGAGACCACCATTGTCAGTAATAACACAAGCCACCCAGTATCATATCCTTTCCAAACTGAAACTGGGATTTAAGGGTCGCGCCCATCTCAACATAGTGCGTTACTGTGTGGTGCTTTTCTTTTTGCTTGTACTTAGGACACAATGTTCGAATAATTTTCCCGTGTTTAAATGAAGTATTATCAAAAATCATGCTTTAAACTCAGTATTTGCCAACTGATTCCTACATGATTGTCACGAAAACATGTTCTTGTTTTCCAAAATTTTAGGGAAATGCTACCAAAACCTAAAAATCTCCCCTGGTATGAGGTTTTTCCCAAAAATTCGTGTTATTTTGAGGAAATTCCAAATTTTAATCAACTTTGTGGGAAAATACAAACTTTTACATAACTTTAAGAAAAACCTCAAGATTGCCCAAAATTTCCCCAAAAATACTGAGATTAGGCACTTTTGTTCTTCTTTATAGACTGGGATGATGATTGGTGACCGAGACCAATCGGACTACGTTGCGTCCAGTTACTTGATTCTGGACAAGATCTTAGTTTTACTAGCGAGACTGAGTCATCATTCTTAAAAGTTTCAGGATTTAAACTGTGTTCTGTTCATTGACCCAATCTTCTGGATTAAGAGTGAATAACGGCACCATCTTTTTCCGACATAGTGTCACCCACAACCGGATTTTTAATATCTTCTTTTGAAAGCCTAGATAGTTGCCTACTGTTATCAATCTCCGCTGTCTTTTTCATATTTTCTGCTTTCACTCTCAATTACTATTCACTATAATTGTGCAGGCCTCTTATCAGCCCAAGTTTGAACTGCCTCCGCTTTTCATAGTATTCCGAACCACAGGGGATGTATTTTCAAGCATCGGTTACTTGAGCAAAAGCTGCTGAAGTCCATTGATTTTTCAACCTTTTGGTTTCAGTTACTAGTGGGTATCATCGCCGTTTCGAATATCATGCCCAAGTTACCTTGGAGTGGGTATAGATTTCATGGTTGATTAACTCCTTTCCCAGTTCTTAAGATATATTCGTGACTTTTATCATTAACTTTAACTCCGGGAGGTTTTCTTTTGGTAACTTTTCAAAATCCAGTGAAACCCTGACAAATACGTGGTCGTACTGGAGCATGACTCGAGTCTAAATATATACTCCAAAATGAGCGACAGACTTTTGTCGGGCCTTTCCAACAATGGTTGACGGCCATGTGGTCTATTTGAATAAATTGTTGGGTCGATTGTGGAGGTTTTCACGTCGGATAATGTTTTCCTTGTACTTGGAATTGGTGCTCGTTAGAAGTAGACGGTTATCTGGGCATAGTTGCAGCAAACGGTCACTATTATCTGTTTACTGGGGGCGTGACACTGTATGATTCATTTAGTTTAACCTACCTACTTGAGTATTAAAATCACCTATCATTATTACTACATTTGAGCGTTTAGCTTTTTTAACGTTAGAAAGCTTCCAATAAGATTCATCTAATCCGTGGAAACTTACAATTACTTAATGACGCTACCGAGGTTACAACCTAAAGACAAAGAAATGTAGTGCAGAAAACATTTAATGCAATCGAATTGAATGTGATCTTCGTCCGATAGTGAAAATCATTAGTAAAGACAAACTCTATGAATTCGCCACATCCATGTGTATTTATCAATCCAATTGCCCGTGTGGTGTCAGTTATATAGGGCGTGCAACCCGTCAAGTCCTTCATCACATAGGGGAACATCATCTTTCTTGATTGAGCAAAAAATAGGTAAGTGTGATTAAGAGTTCTATTCTCGCTCGCTTGGTGGATACACAACATCAGTTCGACCTGAATAAAGCCTATAAGGTTATTCACCATGTTCCATCAAATTTACCTCATCTTTTACGAGTTAGTCCTTTGTATATTGCTGAAGCTATCGGAATCCATGTTCACAAACCTAACCTTTGCATTCAAAAGAAGTTTTTACAACAACTCTCACTAATTTTTTTGGCAGGTTCCTTTATCTTCTGGTAGGATATGATGTGAATGGCTTCAAATATGTTAGGTCCCATGAGTTTTGAAATAAACAGTCGTGATTTGTGTGTCACTTTAACATCGCTAAAATGCGCTTCAAAAATTAGGTTATGGAGACAGATGTGTGTTTGGATAACTCAACATCCGTCGTTTGTAATGCTGGTAGTTTATCATAGTCAATTTTAGCTGGAGTGAAGGTGTTTATTGTTTTTCTGGACAACGCATCAGCTACACATTTGTGACCGTTCTCTTTCCAAATTTATTTCACTGGATTATACTCCTTGAATAACATCCGCAAACCCTAATCTTTCCGATTACTGCTTATACTTTTACTAACTCTACCACCACGGGATTTGAGTCGACAACTGCATCTCTGTGCTAATTTGGTGTGGCAACTCGAACTGATGTATGTACGTACGAAGTTCTACTTTGTCACTGACTGACTGACACCGTTTTATTTATGGAATGTCAGAAGTGAATTGTGACAATTTCAAGTTGACAAATCTCCGGGGCGGCTATATTTATCATGATTATATATCAAAGTTCTGGTTAGCGGTTCAGAGTCATTAAAAAATGTGAACATATTACCCTCTAGCTTGTAACGAAAATGGTTGATAGCTAAGTAAATGAAGAATCATTCTCTCCTAAAAGTACGGTTTTATTATTTGCGTTAGATGTAATCTTTTCTCGAAAACAGGAAGTGACTATAAGCTTCTGTTTACTTGCTGCTACAGTACTACTCTGATAGTATCCGTTGTGAGGACCAATGGTAACTTTGTCCGTCTCAACAACTCCACCGAACACTATCTTCTGTATGTTTTATGGCAAGCTTCAAGCCACAGTTGATAGAATAGACACTTTCTTAATCTACTCATCGTGTATCTTTTCAGCTGCTGGTGTGTATTGTTGCCTAACCACACATTGGCGAACAGTCAGTCAACCGCCTGTTAATCAGATAAAAAAGTAATCTTAATAGTTTTTCTCTTCAAGATGTCATATGTAGTCTCGGTTGTGCGCCAATATCACATCACAAGTTTGGTCTAATTTTTCATCTGGCAACACTAAGCTAATGTAGCTGAAATTGTAGGCTTAGTTTTTAATTTTATTTGCGAACATAAATCTCGATCAGTTTTCGGTATAATATACCCAAAGGGAAGATAAAAAGTATATACGTCCACCTATTGTCGATAGTTTTGCATACAACTAAAATAACGGAAGTTTAAACCTTTTTGTTGTCACCTCTGATCCACTGTTTGTGTTTTAAACTAAATTGATGAGTTACTGACAGTACTCTTCAAGTGAAAACCATCGAATTTTATTTATAGATGTCTGGCATATGTTAAACTTGTTGTCAACGCTTTATCTCATTTCTTTTATTGTCTCAATTTATATCTTGTCTCTTGATTATATCTTAACAACACGTGTATGGATTAAACAGCTTCCTCCTTAATATTGTACGTTAAATATTTACCTATTTAAAATGGAATAAAATTATCGAATAAATAATTTTAAAACTGTTTATATTTTCTAAAACTCATTTTAGATTGGGATTAGACCGTTTACGTTATTTTCTCAAAAGTATCATTTTCCTTATGTACGAACCCGTTATTTATTCTCCAATATGGCTGTCAGTTATTTAAGGTAATGATTTTTGTTTCAAATTTAGTTGCTTTTTAAAAAAAAACGTAATTTAATTTTTGACTTATCAAAATAAGAACCAGATATTTTCCTGCTTTATTTAAAATCATCTATTTGCTGAACTCCCTATGTAATGGATTAAATTCGAAAAAGTGTTGACAGAGCATATAGCAGGCAAGAAATGAAACTAGAATGGTGACATTATTACGATAGTAGGACTTAAATACTATGGTATGAAATTATAGCAATGATAATTTCAAAGGAAATCAACATTGTTAACCGTGTTAGGACATTATTTGGATATAACTGCATAAAAATATATATTCGGTATATTAAAGCTGTGGTTACTTTGTTGCGTTCCATCGACTTTAATTTCTAAAAAAAAAATAGGAGCTAGCAAATCTGGTATAACTTGTTTTACGTCCATTAGACAATTAAACCATGATGGTTATACGTATACTTGATTTTATTTCAGCCAATTCAATCATGAAATCTATGAATATTCCTCTTCTTAATTGACTGGAAAAATATACACTAACGCGAAATATGAATAACTGTAAATTCATAAATTGATCAACATAGGTCGTGAAGTTGATATCATCAATGCTGTATAAGTTGCCAATAATGCTTTATTTAGTTCTCATTATTGTCTATGAGTTTATCTTCTACATATTGTAAATAATGATTAAATTCAAATCTTTCATAAACTAAGTCGGGAACTAATAGGAATTTGTTTAATCTCTCTCACTAATCTCAGGTATCAAGTTAATCTCAAAATTTATCCTTGATTTTTCTCAGGATATTTTAACTGTTAGCATAGGATAACCCTATCTGACGAATGGAATGATAATGTAGTTCATGTACTCAACTTTAAGGCACATTGTTTGTGTGAAGGATAGCAATACTATCTAACTACTCAAACTGGAGTGAAGTGAAGTTTGACCTTTTAACCGAGTGCTTTAACCATTACTACTCATCATTCACTGAAATCATAGATCTAATATTCATAGGATTAAACTTAATTTTCAGAGTAAATAAGTTGATGGAGTCACGTTCATATACAATAACTATGTTTGAATAATTTTCAAAGCGGCCTAATTAGAACCTACTGAAATTGAATCCTAGGTTTGAAAAAACTTAGATGAGAAGTTCAGTAAGAATCTATTTGTAATAATTAACTCCTATTATCAGTCAGGATTATCATGCAAACAACATTTACACCTGTTCGTTAATCATTTCTGAAGAAGAATTAATGTGTGGTCTTTATATTTAGATGTGTTCATAAGGTGACCACAGTGGTATAGGCTTTCGTTTGTTTTTTCACTCATTTCGAAGTTTGAACTATTAGCCATTCTGTTTGAATTGGATTAGTAAGGTCTTAAGCTAGTGGGTAATTTGTGGTAAATTTTGGTTGTGTCTAGAAAACAGACATCATCAACATAGGGCCGGGTCCAAGCCACCATACTTGACTAACACGACGTGATGAAAGTAACGAACAAGATCGAAATAATGTAATAAAAATGATAAAAAAAGACAACCAATTTGTGGGTATATAATTTGAAAAGACAATAGAAATTGGAGCTAGAAATAAATTTCCGAACTCGTGTTTCGTCCTATTTGTGAACCCTAATACTGGAATTCAACTATATCCAGCTGATGAACTCCAAACGGAGTAAAACTAGCCCCCCCTGGTAGCCAAAATCCAACTTTCCTAAAACATAACTAAATGATATCATGTAGAGAATTGTCTTTGTATGCACATATGTTAACAGAAACTGACTAAATTCAATCACTATTATCAGCAAATGGAAAGCTCAAATCCTTACAGATTCAAGTAAATAGTTTCTGTTGATATTTGGTCAGTTTTCATGAAGAACTTAAATCAGTCAAAGAATCTTTGCAAAACTATAGGACATTGAACATTTCTTGTGGCCCAGTATCTGGCTCCAGTTAGATCCCATGATAATGGTATCGAAATATACATCCCAGCTACCTTCGTACATAACTATCGGCTTAATTCACATGAGAGAATAACGGATACTAAAATAGATTTTGATTACGTGTATTTCGTACACATTGATCCAGACAGAATCAGAGAAGCAAAGTGGAGAAGGCGAGTGAGCCAATTCGGTTTGATCAAATGTGACTCGATATTTACAGTTAACAAAAATAGATTTGTAAACTACTGCACCCCGGTTCAGTGGTTTAGACGTTAAGCTTTCGTTCGCGAGACCGAAAGTCTTGGGTTCAATTCCCGATCTGGAGGTCGAAGGCGCGCACTGATGAGGAGTCCCATACTAGAACAAAACGGCTATCCAGTTTTCGTCGGTTTTCTAACTTAGATCGGTTATGGTTCTCAATATATTGCTATAATTTCTTTTGTCACGGAAATTCAAGTAACGATATTTTCAGAATGTAGATAAGACAGATTTTTAAGGCCAAGAAGTATGGTTGCAAATATATTGTAGACTAAATCTACACTATTCTTCTAAAACGCAACCTATTATGTGCTGGTTACAATAAGCCACAAACTAATGTAGTTAAAATTGAGCTTCACAACATATTTTCTATTTGGTTTATTACTGGTTTTTGTACATTTCATTTGTAGTAATTTCTCCTAAAAATTCAAACAAATAATGTGAATTCGTTTTCATTTGATTATCATTTCATAGTTAATATTGTGGGATTTCATTTACTGGTCATCTTTAGACTTCTATGTATGATTAATCTTCATTTACAAATGTGGATATTGACTTTCAACATTACTTTCTACTTTTTATCCATCGAATTCGTTCGTTCTTTTCGAACTATATTGTCCAATGTTTAATCCTTCCTTGCAAATATCGTTTCGACTATTTCTCTATTCCTCTTGTTAATTTTATCTCATCATGTTGATATAATGTGACGTGGACTAACGCAGATCTATATCAAGCTGTAAGTTGATTGTGTCTGAGTGACTGTAGATATTTACTGATTTCATATTTGTATTGTTTATCTAGTCAGGTAGAAGCTCAACAAGTAGATAATGAATTATTTACAGAATATGCTTTCTCTGTTGATCAGCTGATGGAATTAGCTGGTCTAAGCTGTGCTGTTGCTATCAATAAGGTGATTGCTTATGTTTTTATCTTATATTGTGTTTATTATGGTTTACGTATTTTTTTTTAATTCTCTGAACATCATTACTATTGTGCTAACAAGTCATGTAAACGAAGTATTCTCATCATCGAACAAAAAGTTAATATCATAACTCAATAGTAACTTAGCGTATGAAAACGATTGTCGTGTTATCTTATCATATCACTAGATTTCTTATCATAATGTGACTATAGTCTTTGAAGTGAGATATATCAGTACAAAGAACCATTTTCTATATATATATATATATATATATATATATATATATATATATATATATATATATATATATATATATATATTTCTTAATTTAAATGTTCTCCATTTGTAACACCCGTTTCCTAACAACTGCATTACTTAGTCGGTGGTCCCAGGATATACTTCGAAGCATTGCTCGCATATCTTGGGACCACCGAGTAAGTAATGCAGTTGTTAGGAAACGGGTACTAGGTAAGAATGGCAAATCAATTGGTGAAGTAGTGAAACTTCATCAGTTGAGATGGCTGAGACACTGTTACGTATGCTCAATCACCGACCACCCTGACGTGCGAAGTTCAATGGTATAGGAGTAGGTTGCAAGAAAGCTAGGAGCGGCCAGACCAAAACATGGCACAAATCCATGAAGTCACTGACAAGTGGACTGAGCCATGTTTGTAGGTGTACACTACCTGGTTGGGGTCCGCGAGACGATAGCAACCGATGGTTAGAGACCTTGAATGACATAACTCAAAATCGTTTGCAATGGCGCAGGTGCATTCACTCTTTGTGTTCTCCCAAATTCTAATCTTCTGAATTCTTCATGTCCCTTTCTTTTTTCCTCTTTCAAAATTTATTTCATCGGATTATACTCCATGAGTAACATTTTAAAACCCTAATGTTCCCAATTACTGCTTATACTTTTACTACCTCTACCACTATGGGATTTGAATCGACAACTACATCTCTGTGCTAATTTGGTGTGGCAACTCGAACTGATGTACGTACGTACGAAGTTCTATTTTGTCACTGACTAACTGACTGATTCAGTAAGAGATAAATAAAGTTTTCTATTTTTGTAAAATATATATTCCAAATTACTTATCAGATGTGTAAACATTTCCTAATTTGTATTGAAATCAATTTCTGTTTGACTATTATCTCATATAGTTCAGTGTGTTTTCTTCATCTTGAGTTGGGAACCGTAAAAAGATAATCTGCTTGTCTTTTTAGAAAGTACTTTTTAAAAACTCATTGTTAAGTATACATATAAATGAATAAATAAGCAGAATACTATTGTGATAGGCATAACAATGAGCCATGTATTCTAGTTGTTAAATCGTCTTAATTCTTTGCTCAAAATGGAAATAATTCAAAAGATTTTTTCATTCAATCAAAAGCTCAAAATGAAGAAAGTATATAGTTACAGAAGCGTTAATCGAAGCTACTGAATAATATAACATTGCTTTTACACGTGAAAGATAACTTATACCACTATATTGTTCGTGTAATAAGGCTTTCAGTATTAATTATTTCCTGATAGTTGAAAAGATACATTGCTCAAAAAAAAAGTTGTCAACTGATCATTTAATGAAAATAAAGGAACTAACCAATTAGATTCTTTCTCTTTGCTAATAGATTTATCTAAAAATTTGATATAAACCTTCTTCGTTTTACTTGAACTAGTTTAGCCCACAGTATATTGATGAAAGAAATATCGACGAATATTATGTACAACCTTTCATGTTAAAACATACTTTTGTAATCTATCTATTTACTAGTTATTCAGTATATTATAAATTTCCTTTAAACCACACAGGCTTATCCCCTTAACAAGCTAACTAAATCCAATGGTTCTGTACTCGTTTTCTGTGGACCAGGAAACAATGGTGGAGATGGTTTAGTTTGTGCTCGACATTTGAAAATGTTTGTAAGTTTGGCTTTATTGAACTTTTTTCCAAATAAATTTCTCTAAAGAGTTTATATGAGCCAATCAAAATCAGTTCTATTAATTTTAAGATAATTCTATTACTATTACATCATTACTTGATATTAATGTGTAGTGTTTCATTTTATCGTCAAAAATGACCAATAATTTGTTTTTATTTTGATAAAATAAAATTACTTGGTACGAAATAACACTAAAGAAATATCTCATTCATTTATTGGTTTCTTCGTATAAAGTCAAGTTGTTCATACAAGAACTACTCGGTTGTCTGTATAAAACTAGACAAAGTGAAATTCGAACTCTTGAAACCTACTGACAGCTAAGAGTCGAGTAGTTTAATTACCAGTCATTAATTTTCTACTTGAAATAGTAAACATATTTTGTAAGTCATTTGGAAATTTTGAATTTCGCATTCAGTATTCGCTGATTCTTTCATTCTATTTTGAGGTGTTAAGTCTTAAAATGACGATTCTTATTTTTAAAAGTTGTATATTTTCTGCAACTTTTTCAGTAATCCATGAAAGTTAATCATTGTTGGCATGATAAACATCGATTATCGATTTTGCCGATTGAATCACTATGATGATTTATTATTAGCAGTTTTATCCCATGCGGAATTTTTTTCCAGGAGTCACTTTCCCCACTCTCCTTATCCTTTTGGTTTAGACATTTACTACTCCTTTATAGATTTTTGTTCGTCTGCACGCATGATAATCAATTCTTATCAAGTTTATCTATTTCATATATAGAAGAAATATCCCTTCAATTTTGTTCGTTTGTTATTTCACCTTTAAAAACTAGATTGTTTGTTTTTCTTGTGTTTATCTTGTCATTTGTAGGGTTACAAACCTTCTATACATTATCCTCGTAATCCAACCAAACAATTGTATAAAAATTTAGTTATTCAGTGTAAAAAAATGGACATTCCTTTCCTATCTGATTTGACAAATGAAGTAAGCTGGTTTTTGTGTAAAACATTTTGCATATTTTAAAAGTGGTTTTCATCACGAACTGGTTTCAACTATAAAAAGCTAAGATGCTGGTAAAAAAAATAGTTGATGATTCCCTCTAGTTCATAACTTCTTAGCAACACTCGTCTCTTAAAGAGGAAGATTATATTTTTAAAATTTCAGCGAATGAATTTGAAGTAAATCTGACGTTTCGTCTGGCAATCTGGTCCAAGCTTTTTCAAGAAATATATTTTCTTCAAATACATTCGCTGAGATTTTACAAATACATTCTTCTTTAATGTCTTACATCAACTCGGCACCCAAATACTATGAAACTTGCACTCATCCATAGTTAATCTTACATGGATACCAACCTAATTTGTGTATTGAGCATTATATATAAACTACTGAATAAAAATCCTTTAGGTTAGAATTTTTAATTTCAGTCACTTCGTCGTATAGCATAATCCCGATTAAGTATTGTAACTGAGTCACTTTCTCATTCCCGACTATTTTGATTTCGTAGATCGCAACTTTCAATTATGAACTGCAAAAGTCCATCTCAAAAACCAGTCACTAGTATAGAGGCGATTATTATAGAGTGAGACGGGTTTTTTTGTGTAGATATTTTTGTTTATCTTGAGCATAGACTACATTATCCACTGGTGGCATAATATATTAATCATACTAACAAAACCATATTTATCAATAATCACATATATCTGTGTTCGACCTACATTAAGTGATAATAGTTCAAGACCTAACAATAAACCACTTAGTCTACGTATACGTTATTAAAAGCTAGAATTATTTAAAAAGTTTACGGTTAAACGTTCAATTTTCTAGTATTCTAGATTGGTTGTCATTAAAATAGTATTGTCCAAATTGTAGACGTTAATTCACTCTATTCACAAAGTTTTGATCCTCCATACCTTGATGCCTGATTTTTTCATTTCTAAATGTGATATTATATTTCTCATGTTAACTGAACAACAGTTGTAGTAGACGAACACCCAGATGGGGAAAACCAATTCGTTATTCAGTTCAAAGTTACAGCATCTTTGTAAATTATGAAAACCTTACATTAAATAGGTCATTTTTACATCTTCCATCAACTATCTCTTACAAACTTCATCGTCCTTTCATTTCTGTTGTCTTCAATTCGATCTTCTGAATCTTCTGCTGTCATGAATTCCACTTGTGACTGGCGTTACGTACTACTTAGATCTGTCAGCATAAGTAGCATAAACAACACAGTGATCTGAAATAACTTTAAACAGTTTATAAGCACAGCTCTCTCAAAATATCCATACCAGACAGTATGAATGTATCTCTTTTTTGTCATACAACTAATAAACATGATTTTTACGAATATGACGGGCATTATATTTAAGTCACTGATAAAAAGAATAATAGACTTTTAACAATCTACAAAGTACTTTCTCCATTGTTCGCATCATCACTTTGAAAAATTCCAACACTGAAAAAGTTCATATTTAGTCTATTTAGTTTATATATGGTACTTTTAATCCTAGTTATCCCATCATACTTTTAATCAGAAAATAAATATCTATGTTCATGGATAATTGTTATATCCTAGCGAAAAAACAAATGAATGGTAACTACTAGGAATTATTTATGAACTATTGTTATATATATTCTTATTGAATAACGATTAAGTAACTATATTATATATGTATTCATATTCCTTTTATAATAGGCTTATGTTTGATCTATTGACGATTATTATACGATTCAATATTCTTAAGTTATTTCCAATTTACTAGTTACAGTATATCACACTTGCAGCCACTTTTGGTCTGATCTTGTGTAATTTTTATTTTCCATTTTATGGTATGGTGCGGTCTGACTCACTTGTTTATAAACTGTGTATGTCTGAAATACATGGTTCATACAGTGGAAACGCAGATTGCGTTCTGGACCCAAACAGGAAGGGCTGGCGAGAACTGATAAGGACTCAGAGTTAACTCTAGGCTACTCGTACTGGTTAATGCGTCATTGGTTTCGCACAGTGCCAAGGTCATATAAGTTGATGTTTCTTTTGGCGACTTGGTCACGTGATAATAAACGGGGCAAAAGACATGATGATCTACATAATGTTTCTTTTTTTATCTCTATTGTTCTTTTACATTTTTCTTTAACTAGACAGTTAACTTATTTGAATCTTATGATCTATTCATTGATGCACTTTTTGGATTTGGTTTCAAACCTCCTGTAACTCCAGAATTCAAAAGTATATTACAAATTATGTCAACAAGTTCAATTCCTGTCATATCGATAGATGTTCCATCAGGTAAGCATACTTTTAGTGTTACGTTTTTATACTACAATCACCTCAACCATTGTAATATATATTATCATGCTGATACATATAATTTCTACTGTCTTCAACCGGTGTCACAGTCTCTAATACTACTTCTTCATTTACAGAATTTTGAACAGCTAGGTAGCTGTTACAATAAAAATATGGTTCATATTCACTTATGTTAGTACATATAAGTTAGGGGAGTTACATTTCATATAGTTACAAGAAAAAAAAACGAATCTTTCATGTGTTAAGCCTTAGATTAATAAATTAATTTATTTAAGCTTTAGAATACTTGAGTGTTTTTCATTGATCAATGAATAAAATTGATATCGAAATACAGGTATAACTTTAATCAAATACCTAATGGGAACACTGTTGGTTATCAATTATTTTCAACTAGCTCTTGATCAATCTATTAATAAAACACCGTGTGAATTACGTAAATTTATGTGACAACTTTGCAAGTTGAATAACATAAAGTAAGACGATTATATAAAACCACACTACAACGTTTCCAAGTCTTCATCACTAAACAACTCATAATTCACAGAGGTTTCACTTTGACATTCTGCTTTTGAAATTTGAGTTGTTTTATTGGTCTCAAGTTTCTCATCAAAACAATACATAATGGTTGAAATAATATTAAGTTATTAAGTAGTCATTCGTAGATCATTACTTTGAGTCATATTGTAATTCATAGTGTTATCTATGCCGTACAATATCGAACATCCAGTTATTAGTTTCTTTTCTAACTACTTGTAAGTAACATAATTCAAAATATTCAAATTTTCATGAGAGTAATATTGATCAATAGCACAATCTCATTTGCAAATCCAAAACAGTAGTAGTATGTAAATTCAGTTGGGTTTTTTTAATCTTGCCATTGATGTTTAGGACTGCAATTGATCAATCTCCTATTGGCATATGTGCGTGCTGCCTCGATATTACCTTAATTCATAAGCATTATTAGCAAAGATTCAGTAGCTAAGTGGATAACGTGATGGCGTTTGAAGTGAACGGTACTGTGTTCGAGTTCCAGAGTGAACATCAACTCTAAAATGCAGGTACATCCAGCTGAAGAGTCTTAAATATGACGAAACGCGTGTCCTGGATTCCTAAAAATAAACTTTTAGGAATTTGTAGTGTTGTCGCTGCTCATAATATTTCTTAATAATAATCTTTCTTGTATAACTTGAGGTGTACTGAATTCACATTTGTATATAGATAAAGTGATCTGATCTGTTGATACAATTCCTTCCAGTTTTCAATATAAATTTAAGACAAAACTATCATGTACTTTACGTTTTGTACTGAATGTGGCGCGTTTTATGATCCACTTAAAAAATGGAGTAAGTATCGTTGAAGTCCAAATTGATGTCTGTATAAAACCATCTAGGTTATAATTGGTACTATAGCCTAATAAATAGGTTCAATAAAAACTCAAAACCGATTATCGAACATTATTAAAAATGTAATTAAGCACTGATCGTTATACCGTGGACATACTCGTTAATAATTCATAGAATTCAGTCAATTAGTCATAAACAACGTAAAACCTGGAACATATGTATCGGTTCAAATCGCTACATCAAGCTAATTTATACTTTCACTTTTGAAATACGTTTTTCCCTTAACTATCTTCTGTTCATACCGAATTGTTTTGCCATATGGCAAATACTACATGTGAAGGTAATCAATGTACCCCTGATTCACTTATAACATACCTTATTAACGGATTATTTCATTCAGTTGAATCGATAAGAAACGTTAAGGTTTACATTAATCCAACCTTAAAAAAGCTTATCTTTCAAACATTATTCATCATGTAACGACTATGTCAGGTCACTAAGCTTGTTAGGCAGATTATTAACCTTAAATGATACAGGTCACAATTGATGACTAAATAGCAAGCTATTTATCCTCTCTAGTCACTGACGTCTGTCTTAACTTCCATACTTATTTAAATAACAACATATCACTGAATTCACATAAGAAGAAATAATACTGTCTTGCCTAAATTTTGCTTATCTTTTTTATTTTTATTAGATATAATTTGATATTCATTTCTTTTAACGATCGATAGATAGCTGAAAATTTTACATAAACCTGAAATAATCTAACTACTGCTAGCAATATAATTTATTTATGGATGATAAAAATCGAATACCAATTCTATCTTCCCCCGTATGTTTTATTTAAAAGTAATGAAATCTATTCATGCTTTACCTGTCGATAGGATGTCATCTCAATATATATATATATATATATATATATATATGTGTTTATTCACCTAAGGTTGTATCTTGTGTGGTTAAAGTGTTGTGCACATCATGTGGTTGGTGCATTCGAATTCTTATTCAAATGTGTGTGTGTGTGCATCATATGTTTTGCCACTAGTTTCTTCCCTCTACCCGTTTTCTAGTTTGTGTTTATTGTTTTTCTTTTCACATTACATATCTTAGTTTTCTTACCTTCTTGCTTTAAAATTTCTAGTGTTCATAATATGGTATATATATTTTCAAAATATTCACATTCTGTTTATCAAAACAAGTCATATTAAAAATAGTATCTTTAAAAAGATAAATATTTACTGTGTATTGATTTGACTTAAAGACAGTTTTTTGATCATGGATATAGAAGTCAAGTGATGAACAATTGAAAACATAGCCTCAGTGAATTGCTGTTTCTTTCTCTTTTGGAAATATTGAGTGCTGCGTATGTACTACCTCGTTTCTGGCTAACATCTATCTATGATATTTTGCAACCATTATCCAATGCCAGTGTTAGACTGTTATCTTATTACTGATTTCGTTGACCCCACAGGTCATGACACATATATATTAGATTCATTACCATCATATAGCGTAAAGTAGATCCTGTGTACCATGTAATCATGATCAGGGCTATCTGATAAACCGTTGTCATTGTTTTTGATATCCTCCCTCCCTCCATATCCTATCAGACATACAAGTTCGCCAATTCATTCGATTTTCAATAAGCATGACTTGTTTTGCTTTGTTTAAACAGATCACCTTTTAAACTTCGTTTGAATCTCAGTGTTTATGCTTTCATACATTTACACAATGAAGAAACCCATTTGAAGGTCACATTCATTATTTATGATTTTGATTGTTACAACTAATTATATATTTATGTGTATATAAAGGTTGAAAAACACTAGCTCTTATGAAACGTCACAAATGTATTCTTATTATCATTATCGTTAATATTTTCGAATTTCAGAAGGAAAGATTAGAAAAAAACAAAATCACAATTTTAAACCGGTGATTCTTAAATATAATTAATTTATGTATCTGAATTTTATTTTGCCCTACAATAAACAGTAATGACATCATAATCATCGCTAAGTGTATTACATTCACAAAACACGTAAATAGTATGGATTCATTATTGCATTGTTTGTTTGAATCTTTCCATTGATGTTTAGGATTGCAACTGATCAACCTCTTATTGACATTTTAGATATGTTAAACTTTTATTATTGGATCAATAGTTGTGAAACTGTGTAGCTTCTTAACCAATAAATTGTTAGTTCGAATCCAGTAGCATCTACGTTGGTTTGAGTAATCAGTTAGCATGACTATCCTTCATACAAATATAGTATGATTAGAAGCTTAATACATGAGACTTGTTCGTGGTAAATAGGTTACACCGCTATTGAATTGATAGACTCGTAAAATAACTTCGATTTCTGTAAAATACGATTATTATTATGATATTTGATAATTTAAAATATTGAGTAATTAAATGTTACATGTATATTTGTGTTATATTCTGTTAAGTAGGAAATTTAATTACCTATCCATTAATGTCTATACAAATATAAATCATTTTTATGATAAAGTTGAATTCTATTCTAAATATTATTTGCCATGCATTTGTATGTAACTATAACTCCTGGCTTTAAGTCCTACTGAAATATTCTACTTAATTAACATATTGTTCTTGGTGAAGTTTCATTCTCTGAACTAAATGTTTTAATCATGGAGCCTTTTTCGTTATTCTTCTGAACGATATCATCAACATAAAGTTCAGGTAGAAGTGAAGTATTCAAATTTCTTCATATATAACTGACAGCTTTTTCTGTCGACCTTGTTCTTAATTAGTTATTGTTGACCTTCAACCTGTAGGGAAATCCTTCATAAATCGTCTCTGTATGGACATTTTGGGACAGATACCTTGCAGCTAGCACTGGAATACAGTATTCAATGATTTAATGAACAGTATGTAGGATTTTAAAGCGAAAGATATTAGGTTTAAGTCCCATTGAGAGCATCAACACTGGGATCCAAGTACATTTAATATGCAAAATTTCAAAACACTTTATAATGTAATTTCTTTTTATTCTTCTATAAAATCATCTATTCATTAGGTCATTATAAATAGGAGTATCCAGCTTTAATAAATGATATTGTCGAAAAGAAAATTTTCTTTACTGAATTCTTTTTTTTTATCTAGCCAATGACATAATGGGTTACTTCAAGTCTTTATATGTATAGAATTATTGAAGCCACTTTTCATCTGGTAATTTTATTCTTATAATATACCCGACTATTTTTTTTACTTTGAACCCCATGTCCATGCAATGTGTACAAAGAATCATTCATCTATTCTATTTAGTTTTTGTCTTAGCATCTAATTTTGACAACAGTATAAACTAATCTCACACTTAAGTTAATAATATACACTTACTGGAAGTTTAACTACTAACAATACCAGTTAGCCGAGGGTAGAAAACTTTTTTATTTATAGTAGATAATTAACCAGCTAACAATCATTATAATAGTGATAATTATATCGTAGTTTTTAAAAAACTATACTATTCTTTGTTTCTTTTCAATAAATCTTCTGACTAAACACTTGAATCAGTTTTATAAGCTCTTTTAATAACCCCGGGGTAAATTTATATAACAATTTGAAGACAAGATAAAAAGTTCGTTTATGTACAGAAAATTTAGGGTATTTGTAGCATTTTAGACGGCCTTGAACTTTTGGAAAGTTCTGGAACGCTACTGAACATAGTAGCGGGATAGGTCATCATTGAGCCAGAGATGTGACACGTGACTCTTCATTTTCTAGGTGTTTCCGAGAAACTTCTACTCAATGACAATTGGATAAAATGTTTCCTAGCGTTTTCAGAGCCTCTGAGCATTTTTTGAGGAATATTCTGAGTCTTCCCAACACTTTATTATCTATTAATGAAGGATTATTTTACAAATAAACAGTAAACGACTATAAGCTCCATCATCTATTTTCCCTCCCAACTTCATAGAATCTAAAACGATTTCCAATATTTTCCCACAAATAACTCCTCTCTGAAACGAGGTGACTTATCATTAGGATTATTTTAAATGTATGACCATGTGTTTCAGTCTAATCCTAAGAAAAAAATATATTTCAAATTACAGTTGTTAATCATTTTAATAGAACTGTGTTGTTGGTTTTGTGGGGAGAGCGCTAAATAAATGTTTCAGTATATCTGTGTAATGGTTATTATTATTATATTTTTATTTATTCCATAACAGGGTGGAATGTGGAAACTGGACCATTAGATAGTGAAAATAACTTAAAACCGGATTGTTTAATATCATTAACTGCACCGAAATTATGTGCTCACTTCTTTCAAGGACAGTATCATTTTCTCGGTAATTTAACTTATATATATATATATATATGATGGGTTTTTACATGTGAGTTTGTATGTCAGTTGTTTGTTGGGAAAAAAATTGATCAGGAGATCCAGATCCTTGCATAAGATCTTTCCTTTATATAGTACCATTAAGTTAACTGCTTCTATGAATCCGGTGTTCGTTTTGCTTTGTTAATGAGGTGTGACAACTTGGACCGGTGCATATATGTGCCTGGTCCTACGTTATAACTGACTGACTGGTAGTTAATCTCTCTTTTCTCCAATAATAATAATATAATTGTCCTAAAAGAATTTCACCAATTACGTAATCTCTCAGTTATTTTATTGTTTCATTTTTAATTTTTATCTTAATCGACTAAATTATGTAAACTTATCATTTCTAATTATCCATTATTCTTTGCCAATCTAGTCAACTTTTAGCTAATTGGAAAGTTCTAGAATTTTGTAAACTTTTCTAAAGCTTCTCAATCTAAGTTCTATTGTAAATAATTCAGATTTATTCATTTAACCAAAAGTTGTTTACTGTCTGTACAGAAAAGAAAAAGTTTAAACATATTGAAATGGATGTGTAGTTGAATATCAAACATCTGTGTTAATGATAATAGCTAATAAATAAATAAAATGAAAATATGAAACAAATCATTCTTTGAGGAATATACTAATAGTCGTTGAAAATTAAAATATAAAAAAAACAATTAATTACATCCTCTATGACAACTAGATTAATTAGTGAGAAATTATTATGCCTATATTAACCATTCAAATATGTACATATACACAAGTTTATTATGATTTTTTTAATCATTCCTAATTGTCTTGTTTATCATAATGTTTTTTTTCAGTATACTTTGTCATAAAATTATCTTCATTGATTGGATATCTAAAGTACATTTGTATATGTATCCAGTGTACATAGTTTTATGTATATTGATTAAGTCTACTATATAAACAATCAGTTTGTTTATCTTATTAAATGGTCTAATATACATTAATTCGTTTGCAAGTATATATATATATATATATATATATATATATATATATATATATATATATATATCACTACCTATCAGAAAAACATTCATCTCACTCTCTCCCTCTCTCTCCAGGATGGTTATAAAAATTCTATGCCTACTATATTGCCGAAACAACTTCCTGTCTATACTATAATTGTGACCATATAATTTACATTAATAAATTATAATTAATTGTTTGATTATCAAGTGGAGAAAATGAATTAAAATGATACAATTATAATTTAATTGATCATTTTTATTCACATGTATAATTAAACTTATTATTGATAGAATTTGGTTTGAGAATTATTCAATACGTTCTTTTTATTGATTTATTAAATCAGTTTTTCCTTTGTCCAGTTTCTCAACAAAAGTAAAATTGTACATATTTAAATAGAAAGTATTTACATTGTTAGATAAATTGAAACAGGATATTTTCTTTTAAATAATAAAGATATGGTATAGGTTTATTCATTTGATCGAATTATTGACTTCTATGTTATTATTAACTACTCAGGAAATAGAAGTGTGAGGTAGTTAACGATTATCGACAGTAATTTTCATAATCTACGTTTAAACAATAGTTGACACTTGTCAATTAAGCATATTTATCTACAGTCTAAAAGGAATTTATTTTCCTTATGTGATCTTAACCGAAGTTATTCAAATTATGACTCATCAACTTGTAGAACTGTCATATTTACACGGATTCATCACTAAGTGTAAATTATTGTCATGTTTTTGGTGAAGTTTCATTCCTTTGAGTTGGATGGTTTAGTCATGAAGCTTTCATAATTCTTTTAAACAACATCATCAGCACAAACTTCAGATAGAAAAGGAATAAAGAATAATGAAAGTTTCATGATTGAACTATTCAGTTCAGAGAACAAAATTCTATTAAAACCATCGACCTAAACTACGAATCTCTACCAGTTCATGTTTATTTAGTCTTTAATGCTGTACAAATTCTATTAATCAAGTTCCAACATGACATTCATTTCTAAAAAGAAAAACTCATATGAGCTATATTTCGATATTAGGTAGTTAAAGTCAGTCGGACCTAGATTTTTTGTTCTTATCAAATCTTAGTTTTCATTATTTGCAAGTTATTAAATAGAATTATGTATATTTAGAGGAAGTATCTTTAGTTGTTGATTTTCTTGTTGATAATATCCAACCATTGAACAAAGTACATAAACACAATCTTTTGTAAAGAAAATCATTTTAAAATTACATGTCATATTGACCTGTTTTCTTTTCTAAGGTGAGTAGAACATCATGTAACCTACAAAGTGACTCAGATTTTGCGGTACTACTGTTTTAATGATCAACACGTATTCTAAAAAAGTCATACACTATATTTGCTTAAACCAATTTCCATAACATTTAGTGAAAGAAGTGTAAATCTATTTCTTCCACATTTAATAAAGAAGAGATCGATCGCAACCTAACGATACTCAGTCAATAAAACTTCCCAACATAAGCGTGGAGGAATAGGAAGACCAGTCTTTTTTCAATGGAGCTTTTACTATCTACACGAAAGCTGATGTCATTACAAATTGTCTGTATATGTCATTTTTAAATCTATAGGACAAGATAACGTCCTGACATATAAAGTTACTAATTCTGAGAAAGTATCGATCATTTTGGTAATTGTGGATTCTCGGTGCGTAAAATATAAATTCAAATCATATAACTAAAAAGAAAAATTCTATGGTGTTCCCAGTAGAAAAAAAAACACTATCTGAGTATTTCGGGTCACTAATAGAATTTAAAAATACGAAACTCTTTCATGGAACACTAAATAAAGAAAATCCTACCCATAAAAGCGTAATGGATAAGAATAAATATAAAGATAAGAGAAATATAGATTTACGTTGTTAACTTATTAACTTACTGACAACTTATTAAGTAATAAGCAAACAAATAATGTCATGTTTATTATGTAGAGTTGGGTTGCTTCGATCAAATTACTGATTGACTTAGTTATGCAACGTTAATGCGAAATCATATAGTCTGTCGACCAACAAACAGCTGAACTATATTAATTCAAGATGTTGAGTGTGAATCAACTTCGATCTCTGAAACGTTGACTTGTATTATCTTTAGTTAACCGTATAAACCTTCCACATCTGCTAACAATGTTTATTTTAAAGCGTCAAAATAGATATTTTCCTATTTATGCAACGTTTTATATAGTCTTTTGATTTTATTTTCAGGTGGGAGATTTGTGCCAGATGCACTAATGAAGAAATACAAGTTAAAACTACCCACATATCCTAGTCATGAGTTATGTGTACTCCTCAATTCCTCCGATGATAAGAAGTAGTTAGTTATATTTGCCAAACTTTTGTAAATGATATTTTGTTAAAAATATATTTATCTGGAAAGTTCCACTGAATGTTAATACTTTATTTACGAATAACACAACTAACTGAAGTAGCTTTGGTTAACAGACCATTTTCATGTGTATCCACTATGCCATCAGATCTGATAGATCTCATGTTTGTTTTGTATGTGAATATAATACACGTATCTGTCACGTTTTCATGATTGTTATTTGAATTATTATATCAAGTCTTTCAAGTAGACACAAATCCAGTATTTTAATAAAAGTAAGGAGGAAATTAGAGCTTATTTATTGTAATAATTTAATGAATTCGTTGATTAGTCTTGTTTTATACTAATTGCAACAGAATATCTGAAGATTGATCCATAAATTTGTTGATTCATTATTCAATTACAGAATCATTAAAATTAGATTTGACCATGATTATCATCGTTCTTTTTATCTTTCCATTTACTCATCCCATAAACCTATATTATTAACAGCTAATTTACAATACATTCAAACATTAAGTGTCTAATGAATTATAGTTCAGTTAATCTCACGCGAATCATTTGACAGAAAACCAACTTTCGGCGTTGAAGTTTTAAAACTAATGGTGATTTCTTAACTAGACTTTCTGACAATTACAAAGTTCCAGTAATAAACAATTACTTGGACATTCTTTGTTCAATTTAACAGGATCATCAAGCAATTTCCGCCTTCAGAGTACAGATTGTTTAGTTATCTCGAATGGGATATAAATTCCTATTATGTTGAGTTTTGAGAAGCTACACATGTGCACATCTAAGCCCTCTGCAGTAACCTTTCAAAACCGATAATTTGGTAGCGAGAATTCGAATTTGTCTGTTATGAATATCCTGAATTGTTTAGTTTCAGCCAACTTATAGGCTCCTTGAACGTGTACATCGATATTGTCTGAAGTTGTGTCGACCGTGTTTTTGTAGTATCTAACAATGGAAAACCAAATGCTTTTTTTACACTGTTCGATGCGTATCAAGTAGGCGCGAAACGCAAATATATGTATATCATGACTTTGGGACGTAGTATTTGTCGTTACTTAGGAATCTAGTAGATAACGCTCTGGTTTTTGAAACGATGAGTATTGGTTTGGTGTGAAATCCAAATACATTGAGCTTCATGCAGAACGAAACGTACACCTTGGATTGTACTGATAATCATCATAAAATATACCTATTTTGTTAGCACATTGACAACATACATTATATACAAACGATCATCCCAAATCTCTTAATTCATGAATTAATGTCGATCGTGTCCTCTTGTGCGAAATAAAGTCCAGTTTAGCTTAATGTCGTATCAGCTCGTGCTACATTACTTCATTTTACTTTTTTTATTAACTCGTTTACCAGGCACTTGTATTTGAGCAGCATTCGAAATCCAGTTGCTGAAATAAATAGAGACGGATTTGAACCTAGTGTTTTAAAGTCGAATGCACTAACCACTAAGCCATTGTAATATGAGGAAACTAATTTGTCTCTGAGAAATTTCCATACTAAAGCACAGGCATGTGAACAAAGAATATTCTTTCCAATAAATCCTCTTCAGGTTCTACAATTTTATATCCAAATTAATAATCCGAAAAGTGGCTAGGCTTAGAGAAAATACATCATTCGAAAATTATAGCATGTGGATTTAGGATTGTAAAATAAAACAAAATCGTTAATGTTGGGTTGACTGGAATAAGTTTATACGTTAAATGAAATTGAGGTTAATAATCAGAATAAATACAGTTAATATGGGGTGAAAGAGATAATAATGTAATTATGAATCAAACTGATTTAGCTGAAAGTTCCATTCACTTAACCTGCTCGCTTCTTAAGTAACTCTAATTAGTCGGTTTCCGCATAAAATAAAATTGAGGCTAATCATGAAAATTACTCTCATAAATGCGGGTCCTATCGAACAAATCAGATGAAGCGAAAATTAGAAATGTGTGCAAATGTACAACTATAAAAATGCATTCGTTGATAAAAAGGTCCAAGTAGTTTAAATTGACCAAGCAAAATTTTAGTCTTCAATCAGAGGCACATAGTTTCTGTAACAGCCTAAATTCCAATATTTGGTCTGAACGCTGAACTAACGAACCAAAGTTTATTCGATTAGGCCAAACTACGTTTTTCTATATAGCATATGAAGCGTTTTTAAGTGACTTGTATTAAATTATATCAAAACACAAACTGTCCAATTTAGACGGTTCGAATTAAAGAAACAAAACAAATATCAAAATAGCTCAAATAGTACAGCCTATGCTATACGGTCAAAGGTTTCTCTAGGACAAAATAACGTGCTAAACAGCCAAAGGAATAGTTAATAAATCCTAATACGATACCTCAGAATCAATAAAAAATATTCCCAACAAGATGGGACCGGACATCTATCTGCAAAGATCCTTGTAATCCTTCCAAGCACATAGTCAAAGGTTAACAGTCATACATTGAACTACGCCGTAACCTTGAGTTTAGTTAAACATGACCTTATTGTCCATAGTCCAGCAAAATGCAGCAGTAAAATTAAGTAACAAAGTAAATCTAACCAAAGTCAAGTAGTAAAGGCCCAGACAATGAAGACTAGAATAAAGGTTAGAATACAAGACAAGGAAAAAGAACAAGGTCAGACTGATTACAATCGGATCTATCAAACTAGTATTGATCTGCATAAACTAAGTGTATATACACTATCCAAAATATTTCTCTTGAAATCTATCCACTGCGTGATTAGTTTTACTAAGTCAAATAAGAAAAGCTAACTGTTTTTAATAGTTCACAAAAAAAGATGCGACGAGATTTGTCAACACAGTAAGCCAGTTTACTTCGAATGTGTGGCTGGCAGAATTCACTTATCAGATACCCATTAATGAAGAAATATTCTCAGCAGGATAATAAATACTGTCCTACAGAGAGATCCATTGACAGACAAATATACCATTTATCGTCAGTAAATTAGAGCTATAAAAACAAAATACACATTCTGACCAATTTTTATTATATCAAAGTACCATAATACTATCCAGAAAATGTAATAAATAATTCAAAGAATAAGGCATTGAAATGATGGCGCCAACAACAAGTAAGCATCATAAAAACAGGGGATTGAAAAACCAATAAGGCAAATACGCCAATAATGAACAATTCTAATATAATCTCAAAGAGGTATATATTACATGCATTTAAATTAATATTATCGTGAAGATCTGAAGGTTATATTCAATAAAATCAAGTATTACATATATCATAATCAAATTATTCTCTTCTTAATCACTGGGATTAAGAATAGATATAAGAAAAATGAAATGTATAAATAATCGACAATTGAAAGCATATCATAAAAACAATGAAAAAGCGTATGTAGATATACACATACACACACACATACAGAGAGAAGCATGCAAACACACATACATGTATATGTATGTATCATAAACAGAAGAAGTAAATTTCTTTTAATCTGAATTAAAGTGACGAAAATGAAAAATTTCGAAAAGATAAAACATAACTAGCACATTTGCTAATAAAGAATTGATAAATAAATTGAAATGATTATTTAAAAGTTACTGTACAGTGAAAATAATTGATAATATTTATTTATTTATTTATATAAAGATGACTATGATGATTGTTTTAAACTAGCAAGATGAGATTCTAATGCTTCTAATTCCATTTGTTGAGATTGAATTCGTGCTTTTGTATGAATACCCTAGAAAAATTAAAATAATAATTATATTTTAAGAATGAATGTTTGTGAAGATCCTAATCATTTTAATAGTTGAATTCATGAATCGATTTAAGCTAGATTATTATTGAAAACCTGGAAGCACTGAACAACTGTCTAGTCTTAGTATGGGACTCTTCAGCAGTGCGCATCTATGATCCCGCATGAGGGACTCGAGCCCAGGACTTTCGGTTCCGCGTGCAAACACTTAACCTCTAGAATTAATTGTACATAGACAAACTATTATAATACTTTTCACATTTAATTCTTTGATCAAGGATAAATTAATCATTTCAATTTATAAGCCGATTGGTTAAATACCTGACAAATGATTACAATAATTTCCTTAAATGAATGTTCAACAACTTATAGGTCAAAAAATATTAACATTTCTAGTTTTAAAGATGTCACAGTGAAATTGTTGATATTATCTAACATCATTAAAATATTTTTTTGATTGAGATCATGAACCGATTGATGTTAGACCACTGTGGAGCCCCACAATAGGACGAAACGGTCGTCCAGTTTTTCCAGGTTTCCAACGGTGGTCTAACATCAATTGGTTCATGATCTCAATCAAAAACGTAATAAAATTCACAACCCCTACACTGATAATTATTAAAATATATCATTTTTTAAATTCATTTTGCATTGTTTGTTCAAATCTTCCCATTGATGTTTAAAATTGCAATTGATCAGTCTGTTAGTGGTATATTTACATCCTGTGCGGATCGCCTTGATGTTGCCTCAAGTCACAAGCATTATTCTTGTTCAATGTCATAGTCACTAATAGAACCTTACTTTTCTTAAACTAGATCTTGAAATTAACAGTGAGTTTCAGATTTAGCTTTGAAATATTAAAAAAAAACAATTGGAAACTTGAACTTGTTCTTATGCAAATTTACCTGTAACAATGCTTGATTTGTATAAGTTGGCCAAGTTATTTCTATTCGTGGTGAAGTTGAACTACTTGAAACTATGTCACCTCGTTGAACAGTTTCAGCAAGTAGGTCTGTTGACTCTTTGACAGCTTGTCCTGCAGTCTGTTTATACAGAGATTGAAATAAAAGTGTGATTTCACAAAAACATTGTAATGCCTAGATTTGATCAATTATTAATGACTATTTTAAATCTGAACAAAACCCTTCAGAACATTTCCACTAAAATTATTCCTCTAAAAGGATATTATAAAGTTGCTAGTTTCCGTAACATCATAAACGAAACATTGGCTTTAATCTGAACTATATGCTTTTGTACTATTGCAGTTAATTAAATAAGAATTTGACTAACCATAGTTTAAATACATTACCCTTACAAATGAAGGCAGATGTAGTAACATCCTGGAGGATAAAATTACCTTGGTCATATTAAGGACAAAGTAATGTTTGCCGCTCAATAGTGTAGTAAAAAAAACAATTAGAACTTAACGAATGTATCACTACATCCCAAAAGCTACCCAAGTTTATTTTCATTGCCAGGTGGTATTCTATTTAGATGGAAAATTGTCTGAGTTTACACAAATACCTTAATAACTTCGTATTAGATTAGATAATATTGTGTTCCAGCCTATCTCCTGCTAGTCAGTCAGTTCGTATTGAGTTAAGATCGATGTAGGTTCATTCATATGATGTGTTCACTACTGTTCGATGCGTCACGTTTAGAGACAACCAAGCGATTATGTCAGACACATCACT